GTCTTGGACGAACGGGTGTGACTGTGCCAGACTATTTCGTCGGATTCCCACCGACTCATCAGGAGGCTGGACCTCAACAGTCTGGGTGGGGGAATGAATCCACCCTAGAAGGTGGACCTATACGTTGAGAGAGAGAGAGAGAGAGAGAGAGAGAGAGAGAGAGACACACTTACCTGCGCCCGTTGGCTGAGCAACGGGCTGCAGACCGCCGCCTGCACCTGGCGCTGTAGGCGTCCGGGTACGGGCGCGCGGGGGCAATAGGGAAAGGAGGCCCTATTGAGCTTGACTCTAGTACGACTCTGTGAAATGACTTTGAAGGGGGGGGAAGTGCTCGTTCGTTTTCGAACGACGAGCCCCTGCCTTAGAGAGGAAAAAAAAAAAAAAAAAAAAGGAGGGAAAAAAGAGAAAAAGACAAGAAAAAGAAGAGGAGGTTGGAAAAAAAAAAAAAGGGGCCGCGGATTTGGCCGCGGTCTCTGTCCAGGTGCAAGGTCCAGAAGCATCTGGACTTTGATAGGGCAGCAGACTGTTGGTTTCAACAGTCTGCTCAGAAATGGTTGAGTACGGCCATTTCTATGGTATGTCTGGCCGCGGGTGATGGCCAGATGCATTCCCTGTGGCTTGAACTTGGTTACCCTAGGGGAACATCGAGTTTTGCAACCCTTGATCGCGTTTTAGATCAAGGGCCAGGCCTCATTCCGAGTTCTGGCTGTGGGCAAAGCAGCTGCCCACATGTTCTCGGCTGGCTATTAAAGCCAGCAGTCCACCCAGCAGCCTCACAAGTTGTGGCAATGATGCTGAGGCATTCACTCGAGTGAATGCAGGCTGGCTGTTGCTGTGGGGCGGTGCTGCTGGTGGAGGTGCTGGAGCTGCTGGTGGAGAGGAGCTGCTACTGGCGGAGGTGGAGGCTGCCATAGCCACCACCTTGGTGCAAGCGGTGCAGGGGGAAACTCTGCTTGGCGGCGGCAGGGGTTCGGCTGGCGGTGTAGGGGAGATGCTGCATGGCTTTTTTGGCGGCGGCATCCATCATTGAAGTTTGTAGAAGAGGTGTTGTCCGCTTGGCACGGCAACGGCGGTGCTTTTATTAGCGGTAGTGCGGAAGCGCTGCCAAAATTTTGCGGCGGCAGCATTGGGGTCGACGACGGTTATACGGAAACGCTGCCAATTGCATGCGGCACCTGAAAGGCTGGTCGAGACCAATTTTTTTACAGCACGTTGGGCAAGAGGGGTTTGAGTTGGGACCACCAAGTATTGCGGCGATGGTGTGGGACTATCTGGGACCATTCTGGGACCAAGTGAGTGAGGAGTGAGACGGGAAATGAGTATTGTGGAGGAGTGCGGTGATCTGACTTGGCAATCGGTGGGGGTTGGAGTGAAGATTGAGCCGACGCTGTTCTTTGTAGGAGGTATGCCGTTGAGACTATAGTGAGGTCGTGTGAGACTTGAGAGTGGGGGTACTCTTCTCGACGGCAAACTTGCTTTGTCTTGATAAGCGGCGCCTAGGTCAGTGGTAGCACTTGAAGAGGAGCATGGTTTATTTTTGTGAGCAGGCCACTACGTGAGTTGTGTGATCAGTCTTTTGACAAAAATATTAGGCTTTCTTGAGTGAGCCGCTTCAACTTCACTCAAGGTCAGTTGTTTGACTCAGACCCCTTCACACCTGTGTGAACCCACACTTRCTTGACCCTGTTCTTTGAATGTTCACTGGAAAGGTAGGGGAAGTTGTGTTTGTTTGYACGTGTGACTGAAAGTCTGAMATGAGTTTGGGATTGCATKGTTTTCTCTTGAACTTGTTGTTTGGTCTCACGTRCAGGTAGGTAGAGGGATGTCTGAAAAAGAGGAACCTATTCGTGTCAATRGAAGTGAATGGAAGAATGYTTGTCTTCTATTTTTCGCTTGCATGCATGTTGAGAGGATGGGAAGACAGCAGACGACGAGAAACGGAGCAATCACACAAAGGGGAAGAAGTGAATAGGACATAGATTTTTCCCTGGGGTTGCCCATTC